TTAAAAAATGAGGTAAATTATTAAATAAAGCATCTATCCTGAACAAGGGGAATAAGGCAGGTATAATAAGATAGAAATTTGATATTGCCATTAATTGATGAATGACAATATCTGTGCTTTGTTCAGTCGTTCAGTACAGTAAAAACGTGAAATATGTTCGAGCAGTTATGTTGATTATGTATGAATACACTGCTTTACTTCCAGAATAATCTTTCCTATCTTACTGTAATGAAGTAGAAGATGTTTGAGCCTGCCAATAGATGAAAATGAACTGTTCATTAAGTATTGTTCGCATTTATAGTGGACTGTCGGTCAGCTTTGTTTCTGACAACCGCAATAACATGACGACGACAAAGCACAATGCGCACGCTACCGGTGTGACCACCATCAGAGACACAACAACAACAACAACAACATCTGTCACATCGACACTCGCTTCCATCTTAATGTCAAAATTTGAATATTCCAGCTTATTCCAAGCAACAAAGTGGATAACAACGATGCCTTAACTTGGGTTGCAAGAAATAAATGTACTGGTGACTTCAAAGATGATTAATTGCCAATCAGCGCAAAATCACCTTTTCTTGGCTTAACCTCCCTCAAAAATTTGACTCCATCACTCTGTGAAATCCTCTATGTTATATATAAAACTCGAATACTTCTATATTTGGCAAGCAGGCTTCAAATTTTTTAAGTTCATTTCATATACTATGTTTTAAAGAAGATTAAGGCGACAGTGATGCGGAATTTAGAGCGCAGCTTTCATATCGCTGTACATCATCTTTCGGAAAGATAGTTGCCTATTTGAAAGCTTCTCCTCACAAACTAATTTCTATTCAAAAGGATTTTGAGGATTAATAGCACTGAATGGTTTTTTGCAAGCGCTTAAAGTTTAACCTTACCTCTAAACAGCATACTGAGGACGAAAAGGGCGGAGTTATCTTATCCGACCGCTGAGCATGTCTATAGCAGATGAAATGACCGATTTACCATACTTTCATGGAAAAATTGTTCTTGCATAAATATAAACTTCTTTGTTAACGTAATAGCGATTAGTTGCTCTGTGCCTCTATTAGGACAAATGAACAGTTTTCGTGGAGCAACACACATACACGCATACACAGTTCTCTATACACAGTTCTCTCTCTGTTATTTCTTTGAGTTTCCTGTAAGGTACCCATGTTCTAACTTCACTGGCAAAATCATCCAATCTATACCCACATCACTTTATCACATCCATACTAAATCAAACAGAAATTAGACATTTCGCAAATGTTAGGGATTGAAATTTTAATCATCCTCGGTACACATTTGAGGGCAGAGCATATAGAATAGAATATCCAGAGTATTTTATTATATAGAATAAATACACGGCGAGGTCGTGTGCGAACTGGGTCA